CTTATAAATTATTCTATCTTAAATAGCTTAGAAGGCCCCTGTATTAGCCCTAACCTTAACCTAGCCTTAACCTCTGCTGTACTTTTATTTCTTTATGTATTTAGTTGCACCTTGCCTTTATAGCTAGCTTAGTAGTTTTCTAATATCCTTTTATATAAGGCCTATAGGTGTTAATAGCATTCCTAGGTTTAAAGTCCTTACGCACTCCTATATATGTAATAATGCTATAAATTATTCTATCTTAGGTTGCTTAGATTCTATCTAAAGGGTCCCTGTATTAGCCCTAACTATAACTTAACCTAGTCCCCTGCAGTTACTTTTATTCCCTTATGTATTTAGTTGCACCTTACCTTTGTAGCTAGCTTAGTAGTTTTCTAATATTCTTTTATACAAGGCCTATAGGTGTTAATAGCATTTCTAGGTTTAGAGTCCCGACGCACTCCTATATGCCTCTAAGTGGACTCCTACTGCATTTAGACCTATTATCTTGCCTGCGCTGTTACAATATGCCTCTAAGTAGATTCCTACTGCATTTAGACCTATTATCTTGCCTGCGCTGTTACAAGTTGTACACATAAACAGATAAATATTCCTTTCCTTTACATAGACTTAGAAGAAGAATAATTAACACTAGTTACCTACTACCCCTCCTAGGCAATGTGTACACTGTGCAGCCCTCTTTGCCTTGCACGTACTTGCTAATTATAAATGCTAGCTAGTATAAAGCCTATTTAATAGTTATCTAGAAATTAGTAAGGCGCTGCAGATAGTGTAATTAGACTAGGCATAACACGCAAATGTGTAAGTAAGAAGTAGAAGTAGTATCTAAATAATATTCTAGGCTGTACTATACTTTATAGTGTGTAACAATCTTTATAAATTGTTCTATCTTAAGTTGCTTAGAACCTCTAGAAGGCTCTTGTATCAGCCCTGACCTTGACCTGGCCCCGACCCCTGCTGTTACCCCTATTCCCTCATGTATTTAGTCGCACCTCGCCCCCGTAGCTAGCTCGGTAGTTTTCTGATATCCTACGTACAAGGCCTATAGGTGTCATTGGTATTACCAGGTCTCTGAGTCCCCACGCACTCCCATATGCCTCTGAGTGGATTCATACCGCATTCGGACCCATTGTCTTGCCTGCGCCGTTACATAGTGCTAGAGTGGGTTGTTATGGGCTATAATAACGTTTGTTGTGGTGTGGTCTTAGCAAAAGTAAGCAACTCAGGTGTGCGAGCAACTGTTAATCCCTGTGTCAGATTAAAGCACTGTTTCTAGGCTTCCTAAGATGAATGATGGGTTTGGATATGATGTATGGGATGATGATTGATTGTATTGATTTATTAATCTTTTTTTGTCTGCTCTGCTCGTGTTGCTCGGCCTTGTTTTTCCAGTCCGAGTCCCTCGCGCACTAGCCCTATGCGCGACCAGCTTGCAACATGCTGCAATTTGTTGCAAAATACTGCAAAATGCTGCAACATGCTGCCATTTGTTGCAAAATGCTGCAAAATGCTGCAACATGCTGCAA